AATACCAGTTCATTACACCGTGACGTTATGTGATCAATGTTGGCAGGGGCATGGTGACGTTTTGATGGGGTTTAGGGTGACATAGAAATTATTTAGAGGTCGAAGCCTTTTCGCATCCCCCGTCAGACAGACAGGAAGAGACCGGGGTCCGTCCTTGATGGAAGGTTTTTTTGAGCCCATTGAAGACTTCTCGTCGTCCGAAACCACTACCTTCAAGGCAAAGTGCCAAGCCTACGGGAAAGTAATTTCGGGATCAAAAGCTTCCACTGCAAACTTCAAGCTTCATCTCAGTTAGCATCTCAAACAAATTTGAAAAATGATTGCAGTATCAGTATTTCTGTATTTGTATTTCTGCCTCGCTAAAATGCATTCCTGTTTTTGTATTTCCAAATACATTTTGACTGTATTTAAAATGTATTGCCGATAGGTATCGCGATACATTTTTACAGACATATTTCAGTATCAGTATTTTAGCTACTATATTAATGTATCCCAGTATTTGTATTTCCAAATACATTTTTCAGTATTTCTGCCCAACCCTGCCTTGCATAGTGTCGTCCCCTGTAGGTCGCTGGAGCCGCGAATAAAAGCCGCGCAACACGAACGCCAGCGCCGCAACTACGGTTAGGGCTAGAACTACTTCTGAGTGAGGAGGTCGGTAAGTGAGTGAGTTCATGAGTTCGATGAGAGGCGTGAGTTTGTAAGTTCATAAGTTCGGTGAGTTCGTGAGTTCCCTGAGGGGCGTGAGTTCGGTGAGTTCATGAGCTCAAGGATCCGTGAGTCAGGACTTGAAGGTGAATGCAGCCGTGAGGGTGAGTGTGAGTGAGTTTTAACTTTCTATTTTAGCTTTCTGTGAGTGAGTGAGTTCAACCGAAAAATGCTGACCTGTGGGCTCCACTTGGTCGCCCTTCCTTCCTCTCCTCCCCCTCCATTTTACAAAGTCCCCTTCACCATACTCCCGGAAACCCCCGGTTTCTCTAGTATGAGTTCGTCCAGTCTTCCAGCGAGTCTGGACCTGCACCTCCAAGCCGTTACATGACCAGGGAAGAAAGGTAACCCGACATCTTGCTCGATGGCGCAGGGGTGGGCAGACTGGGTCTCCGGAGTACTGAGGTTGGAAGCCTCTCGAGGCATGTCAGGACGAAACGCACATGGTACATCACAGCTCTTTTCGACGAAGACATTCACACTGATTGCAGCAACAATGAGAGTGATCGCTATCGAGAGATGTTGGTAGCGTCATTTTTACTTTGACTCGCTGGCGATCAGCTACAGCGACGACGACGAAATCGTCGCGGACGAATTCGCTGTTGTCCGCGACGATCTCCCACGTACATGCGATGAAAGGCCGAAAGGCACAGGGCGAAAGGGAGAGTAGCATCAAGGTAGCCGGGTAGCGTAGTGTACGATCGTAGCGTGGCGAGCTTGGGCAATCATGGAGGCGCCTAGAATGACCGTGTTTAACCGCACATCATGATCACGTGATTTATAGTCACCGTGTTACTAACTCTGATAGTGTTGCCTGGTCGCCAGATGAAAATGATCGACATTTGTTGATTGAATATTGCAATTACTAGAGCTTTAAAAATCGCGAAAATTGGTGTATCTATTAAGTAGCCTATGAGCATACCACTTCAAGATTAAACTTTCTGTCTAGAGAGGATACGCAGGAGGAGTAGAGGAGGGTACAGAGGAGGAAGGGGTAAGGAGGAGATGAGGGTACAGAGGAGCAGGAGAGGAGGGTACGAGAGAGGAGGAGGGGAGGATACGGAGGAGATGAGGGTAGAGAGGAGCAGGAGGGGAGCGTACGGGAGAGGAGGAGGGGAGGATACGTAGGAGAAGGGTACGAAAGATGAAGAGGACACGGAAGAGGTGGAGGGTGCAGAACCACTATGTGAAGGGATTGATCTATATTTGTATATACAAAGATGTTTTTTTTCTTGTTTTTTTTTTTATTCTTGCAGATTTGTTTTAGGAAAAGCCATGAAAGCTACACTTATGCGGTTTGTGCGAGTGAATTATACGCCCAGGGGGACATTATGGGGGTGGCTGATCTTTGCGATAAGTTGGCTAATTATTTAAAATTCACAAATTAACTTTTTAAATTGCAAAAATAGACAGAATATGCCAATTAGAAACTTGCTGAGCGTCGTCCAAAACCCCTAAATCAGTCTTTTTCAGAAAGACTTTCAGGGCGTGAGAAGCGTAGTGGTGCACTAAAGTTACCACTCGTCGAGCAGGTACAACGCTAGCGGTTGCGGTAGAGCGCCCGCGCAATTTTTCTGTCTCTTATCTAGCCCCAGCCTTGTACATGCTCCACGAGTGGTAACTTCAGCGCACGACTGCGCTTCTCACGCGCTCAAAGCCTTTCTAAAAATTACTGATTTAGGGGTTTTGGAGAACGCTCAGCAAGTTTTTAATTGTAACTATATGTCTATATTCACTAATTAATATTTTAATTAGTGAATTTTAATTAATTAGCCGACTTATCGCAAAAATTAGCACCCACATAGTGTCCCCCGGACGTATAACTCCCTCGCACGAACCGCATAAGTGCAGCTTTCACGGCTTTTCTTAAAACAACTCTGTAAGAACAAAATCAAACTCCCGGGATTTATATACAGGGTCTTTTAGATAACTCAGGCCAAATCGCTCCCGCAAAAACTACGTATCGCAACAAAAAAAGGCTTGTGCCGTTTTGGTCCTCGGACAGGGGCCCATTTAGGAAAATTATTAAAGTCCGGGATATTTAACATCTTAATTATTTTTGCGTAATTAATTTTTTTTTAATATTGTGTTTAAGGGCATGGTTTCAATTAGAAAAATGCTCAGCATCGTCAAAAAACAGTAAATCAACAAATTGCAGAACGATAGAAGGCACGCGAAGCACTTTACGGGTTTTCAGAAAGTCGTAAAATGCTTCACGTGCCTTCTATTGTTCTGCAATTCTGCATTCTGTTGATTTAGTGTTTATTTATATATATATATATATCCGCGGTGAGAAGGTTCAACGGGCCGGTTGGACGTAAAACGAAAGTTGAGGTGTTTCATGAAATATATATATATATATATATATAAAGAGAGAGAGAGAGAGCGGGCATGGTGGCGGGGGGCTGAAGGCGTGGGTATAGAGGAAGAAAAGAACCCTTAGTGAAAACAGTAACAACGGACGATTTAATCGTCGACGTTTCGGCCTGAGTCCGGCCTTCGCCAGGAAGACAAAGGCCGGACTCCGGCCGAAACGTCGAAGATTAAATCGTCCGTTGTTGCTGTTTTCACTACGGGTTATTTTCTTCTTCTAAATATATATATATATTTCTCAATTTTTTTAGCACGGTATGTCGCAAAATCAAAATACCTCAAGAGCTGCGCTTAAATATTGCATTTCGGAGATTTGTAAGTTTCTTTCATTTTATATTTGTGAATTCCACTTTTGTTTTGTGCACCACACAGTAGATTGCGAGGTTGTGTGTGGGCACAGAAAATAAATGGTATATTTTAATTATTATTCAAGTCAGAGCTCGGCCCTCTGACGTCTCTGCACGCTTAGATCTCATACCCTTTCTCAAGATCTACCCACATAGGATCCGACGGCAACCACGAAGCAGTGCCGACATAGCAGCATTATGGCGTTCATCAGATTTCTTTGAGTGTTTGTTTTCGCGCCTCTTGATATCAAACGCAGAAAGTGCGTCGGTGAAATGGGATTTTTGCTTGTTTATGTGTTGGGTGTCTTTTATCCTTTGACTGTCTTTAACTTAAAATAACATTATATATATATATAAATGTAATTTCCTGAATGACAAGAAAAATGAAAGCCGTTTACAACTCCCTGTAACGCAGAATTGGAGTGCAGCTTTTGAGGAGGAGGAGGGAAGGGTACTGAGGGGAGGATATACCCCTTCTTTCTCCTCCTCCCCCCACGGGGGTCACGTGACCTAGAGGGGGGTCACGTGAGGTCGGGGGGGGGGGAAGGGGTACGTGACTTGGGGGGGGGGGGGGGGCTCGCGCAGGGCATTATCGGACATTTCCCATAATGCACCGCGCGGTTACGCCGACGACGACGCCGCTCAAGCCGGAAACGGGCGCCTAAAGCTGCGCCCTAAAACATCTCGGAAAACACCGACAACGAAGCAGAACATACGCGAGAGGACAATGTTGTACCCGCAACTGAAGAATTTTCGCATGCGAAGATGGAGTGCACCAAGGTGCATAGAAAACCTTTCGTCACTTATGTTTCATGCGTTGCGTATAATATTCCTTTCTTAGGTAGCAGGTGCTATGTGGGTCAAACGGGAAGATGTTTGAATGACAGATTAAGAGATCATGCCTATTCGCTCGCAGCCACGGTTCTAACAACACTGTTGATGGCGAAGGGATCGCGTTAGTTGCAACGTTCGAAGGCTGGGACCGTGTAGCGCTTTGTGTTGACACACTTTAATCACTGACAACTTAAAAAAACAGGCCCCCACTCAATATGGTCCGTCTTCTTGCATCGTGATTTGTTCTTTGGAGTTTGTATTGGCTAATGTCGCGCTCCATTGGATGCAGGACAATAACGAAATGCTCCAGACTCGACACGCCCTTCGTTTCCTAAGCCGTCAGTGGCTATAGCTGTCAAGAATAGAAAGTTGGGCGAGTTGGTAAGAATCCATTTGCAAAACAGCGCTAAAGACACATGGACAAGAAAGAACGCCTCGTCCTGTGTCTCTCCTTCTTGTCCGTGTGTCTTACGCCTTGTTTTTCGAATGGCTATAGCTGTATTTGACTATAATATCTAGAATCTGGTGGGAACCTAGTTACCCTTATTATTATTCGATTGAATATTTTATTAGCGCGACAGTTTCTTCTGAAATGTTAGTGATGATTGCTATATCCGCTTGCTCTAGATATCTGTAGCAGATCTCCACGTTTCCTGTGAAAGCTTAACTTAATGAACGTAGGCTCTTGCAATAGCTCAAACCTGAATGGAATAAATATACACATAGGTTAAACTTTACCTCTGTTCCGTACAAACTTCATCACGTTTGGTTTAGGATGACCGCCGGAATTCGTTAAAACCAAAGTTTGGTTTCTGGTTACCCACCTGTTTCAAGAACAAGGTGAAGTATAAAATCAATAACAGAGTCGTTTTCTAATTACCCGGTTATAGCAATTTAACTATCCTTTTCTAATTATAAAAAAAACAACTAGCCTTTTTACGGTGAAATGACACTTCAACTTAATGAAACACTACCCACGCCGTAGCAGTTGTTAATCTCTATACTGTATCACTTTCAGGCCGCTGTATGCGGAGCGCAAGCTGTTCTGCTTCTAGGACATGGGTTGCGATGATGTCAGAACGCCGAGCTCTTATTGGCTGATTGAAGAAGATAGTGGGTACACCTCAAGGCATTTAGCATTCAGGTCTACCTACTATGCTTTGAATAAAAGCCAATCAGAGCTCGGCGTCGTTGTGACGTCAGTACAACTCTTGCACAATAAGCAGACGACTGCCTCTCCGGATGAGCTCACTACTAGACCTTCCCACGGGCGTTCTATGGCTCTTGGAAGGGTTATAGCTTCCAACACAATCATGGTCTCAGTACCAAATTTAATGAATAATTTTACCACTAACCTTTGGAGACTAAACAAAATCTTTCGCGCACGATGGAATCCAACATCGACACTCATGATTTGTTCCATTATTTGTATTCTATTTTCAGGGCTTACTTAAAAATAGTTCCAATGTTTATTTTTTTAACCCATAAGCCGACCTCGTGTGCTCTGCGGCACGGGCAGTTCACGCGACGCTCTAGTGCGAGTCGTCAAAGCGCTAGAAAGAATTGCACGCAGTTCCGCACGTGCGCCTCAAAGATGGCGGCGCGGAGGGCTGTTCATTTGTCTCTACCGGTCTCCGAACCGCGGACATTCGCTTTTTCCACACCCGAAATCATCATGCGGCAGGAGGCTGTAGACGTTTCTTCAGCTGCGGCTGTAGTTCTACGGCAAGTTATGCAGTATAGTAACCGTAGTAAGCGTAGAGTAGATTGTTGGGCTAGTTGGGTTTAGAACTTGGAATACATTTTAGCGCTCAAAAGACAAGGACACAAAGACGAGAATCAGACACCACAGTGCGCCGCTAACAACTGATCTTATTACATGAAACGTCACTTATATACCATCCGTGTTTCTGATATCGCCCCATCAGTAGCCGACCCGATGCCAGGCCGCGTCATTGAGAAAGGCACATTTCTTATCAAGTAGATCAATTAAGGCTACTCTGACACATGCTACCCCACCCTTCTTAATTTATTCTGCCTCGACTATCTCTCTGATAGTTTTTTCCCTGTGCCTCGCGGGAATCTTGCACTCGGAAAACAACGGTCTGATGTCTGACGTGTCTGATTCTCATCTTTGAATCCTTGTCTTTTAAGCGCTAAAATGTATTCCCAGCAGTAAACGTATGAAGCGACAAATTTTTTTTTGAGTGTGCCACGCTATTGCCAACGGCATGGTTGAAAGATTCCATCGATCTCTTAAGGCATCACTGAAGGCACAGGTTCACTCCAAAATTGGTGGGATAGCATTTGATTAGTGTCATCGGTTAAATTCCATGCCCCCATTCGGGGTAGTACGTATATTTATTTTGCCAGTTTATCCGAATAACCATCCCATGCCTCGCCGATGTCACGAATCCAGCATCTGTATAACGAAACTGATGACTCCGATATGGACATATATGCTGATAATTTTTTGGGAGAAGTAAAATATAGGTATCGTTTGATGTTCTCTGTTGATTGCTTTCGTGTTTTCTTTTTTAAGGTATAATTTATGTAGTAGCGCTTTCATAAAATGTACTGCGTTGTCCCTTTCTGATAGTGCCCATACTGTGTGAGGGCGAAACTCTTCAATGTGTTGATGTATTAGGTCAATGTCCTGGTTTATATTTTAGTTTTCCCATAAGTTTTCTTATTGGAACACTTCAATCTCCAGTCCTGGGAAGAAGATAACGCGCGACCCCCCCCCCCCCCCCCCCCCCCTCCCCCCTCGCGGGAAAATGGAAAGTCTACGCCGCGGGATGCGAGGTTTCTGGGAGACAAGGACATTTAAATTGGGCAGGACCCGGCATGACGCCAAGCCCAGCGATAGCGGCAAAAGATCCTAATCCCTGACTGCCTTGCGCACCGACGTGCTCTCATTCAACGTAAATCCAACCAAGCCCCAATCGTCTGCTCGTCACTCGGTCCATTTCCATAGGCTTAGGCTAAGTCTGCTCCGTGCGTGCGGTCTGCCTCGTCTGCTCGCTGTCGCGGCTGGCTGGATACGATCGGCGCACCAAAAGAAGCTTCGATGGGAACCGGCATTTTCATCACGGCAGAGGGAAACCAACATCTTCTCGAAGGAGGGCTTGTTACGGCTTCCTCAAACCGCGGTGCAATTATCAGCGTTCGTGCGTACGACGACTGACACGCTCGCTTTCCTACACCGAGTTATCACGACTCTCTCTACGCGACGCTCCCGGCGTGGTGTCAAGAGCGTTCGCTACACGCCGGCTTCCTACTGGTCAGGAAAGTGTTGGGCTCCATATCTCACCTGTTCTGCACCGATTCAATGGACGCCGCCATAAACTTTTGGGGCAAACAACTTCGTTGCCACGGCAGTGCCATGGCAACCCGGATGTTTGGCCCATACTTTTATGGCGGCGTCCGTTAACTGAGATTCCATATCCTAACGAAGAAAACTGGAGACTGTGGTAAAAGATGGGGGAACTTTGTAAAAGAAAATATCACAGGAAATGGATCGTCTCAGTAGCCGAGACAATAAGAAGGCATTTTGTGGCCACGCCTACTTCCGTTGCACTTAGCTCCATGCATAGAGTTATTATAATGTACGCTAGAGGTACAACTGGCGCTAGTGTCTACGCTACTTCCGGGAGGCAAATAGAAGCAGACAGCAACCAGTCAACTTTTGCGGTGCTCCTGTGTATTCCTATGGGAAAACGCGCGCGAACTTTGTCTTTTCGCCGGAAAATAACATAAATAAGTTTTATTATTTCGGTTGTACCGGATAGTATGTACCTTTATTAATATTGTAAAAGTGTAATTGCTTTAATTGCAGCATTTTTCTTTACCATTGAACGATGTTACGCTTCGCTATATTTCAGGTCCAAACCTCTGTTCCATGGCAGGTATGTAAAAACGAGCGACGATTCTGAGCCAACTAACAATCGAAAGGAATGTAGAGTGTGTTCGAGGTTCGCTAGCATTCGGGTGCTGGTTATATATTGCTAATCTGCCCGTCCTGTCACACTATGAATATGACTCTGTCGTGCATCTTTACGATCGGTTAAAGAACATTCGAATGTCAAAAAAACAGCACGTGGGCTACGAAAGGTGTTTCTTTTTATTATTTACTATGTCAGGCAGTTTTTATCGGGCACCTGTTCTCTGACCTTTCCCTATTTTAAAGATTTGGAGCGTGTTGTTGATGATTTGAACCCAGAACATGCATCTTCGCACATATTCACGGGCAGAAAAAATAAAGCACTACTTATTTATTGCAAATCAGACTATATTACGTGGCTTTCAATTTATTCTGATCGCCTGCATGCGCAAAGAGTTAATTATCCAGCGTTACTGCGTAGTTCTTGCCGTCTCTCTTGGTTTTCCACATGAGCTTCGTTCGTTTGACACGTATATCCCCCATGGCGGAAAGCGCCGACGCCGTGTTCGCGCTAATAGTGTCCGGCAGTGCACACAAATACATGAACGAAACGGTTTTAGCACCGTTTTTCAGGCCACGAATTTCAAATAAAAACGCCGTAACTGGCCAATTATTTCGTCTGCGTGACTGAGAAATGTTCCAATGCGCCTAGTACGTACGAAATATTTGTGATATTTGCTCTTGTAGTCGAGTGCAGCAAGAAAATGCACTCGCTTTTTCCCATAGAAATGCATTACCGGAAGTCAATTTTCGACTGGTTGCTGTCTGCTTCAATTTGCAGCAGCACACTAGCGCCAGTTGAACCTCTAGAGTACATTATAATAACTCTATGGCTCCATGCATGGAGAATACGCACGCACACCTCCTGGCCATTATAGCCTCCGTGCTGGGAGATGTTTCTGCTATTAAACCGGGAACATTTCCATCCTTTCCTGATGAACGAAGAACTAGTGATCTATTTCTAAGCTGTACTGCTAATACTAACACGTTCACCAATTGATGTTTTTGCACATAAAACAAGTACTTCTTTTTACAGTAATATTTAGGGCTGGACGAATATTCCAAATTTCGAATAAGAATCAAATATTCTACATTTAACATTCGTATTCGATTTGTAAACGAAGTCTTAGGTATTTTTCGAATATTCGTCGTAACAATAATATTCGAAATTATTCAAATATTCAAAACGTATTCGCAAGCGTAAGTTTTACTTTCGGTTTCAGTTTCGGCAAGCAAGGCCCATTGACAGCGACATCGCTCCTTGGCGGCTTCAGCCTAAACTTGTGGCGTCGGTGTCGGTAGCGGTAGTGTGCGAGTTTCTGTTCCCTTGTGATACCTGACTTTGTGAACTGTGCTCAGTTCGCGTTCGCCCAGCCGTGTTATGGCGAATGGAGGTGATTGCGGGTAACTGTCTGCGAAGCGGCGGAACTAACAGGAAACGGCACCGAAACGAAGAGAAAGGAGTGCTATTTGGAAATATTTTGCGAGGGTGATGTCATCGATGGTGCAATGTAGGGCGTGCGAGTCAACGATTAAAACGCCCACAGGTACGACAACGCTCCTTGTCAACCATCTCAGAGTACATCCTGCGTTGTTCAATGAGTATTGTGGAATTACCCCTGGCACGCCAGGAGAAGATCAACCGACGTTGACGGACTTCGTGTGTCGCACGGAGCCCCTGCCGGAAAAAAAGGATGCGAGGGCTAAATAACAAGGTGGCCGCAATGGTGGCGCTTGATTTACAGCCTTACAGCATTGTGGAAGACAGCGGCTTCAAAAAACTTCTGACAGAAGCCGTTCCCAACTATCGCCTACCATCCCGCTCTATACTCTCGCGCGTGCTTGTGCCACGGATGTATGGCGACACCCAAAAGAAGGTGAAAGCAGAGCTCAACAGTACCGTTGAAGGCGGCACTACCGCCGTTGCCTTCACAAGCGACATGTGGACATCGCGAGCTAACGAAAGTTACGGGAGCTTTACCCGCCATCTTCTCACTCCAAACTTTATGATGAAGTGGTTCACATTAAACACTCAACACATGGCTGCCAGTCAGAATGCTGTGAGCATCGCAACTATTATGGGCGAAATGTGCCGTGACTGGGAGATACCCGATAAATGCGCGAAGTTCATCGTAACGGATAACGGGCGCAACATCCGATCTGCGGCAAGGAGACGTCCGTGGACTGAAAGAGCGTGCTTCGCGCATACGCTTCAACTGGCGATTAATGACGCGGGATCCCGTTTGCCGGCCATTGATTGCCTGTGCAAGAGTGTGGCATATTGTGGGACATTACAAGCACAGTTTATCAGCTCAGAAAATCTTGAGAAGTGCCAAAAAAAGATGGGAAAGGACACACTCCGTCTGGAGCAAGACGTGGAGACGAGGCGGAATAGCCAGTATCTGATGTTGTCTCGCCTTCTGGAACTCAATGAAGCAGTCACTGTGGAGCTCGCTACCTCGGACTGTGATATCGATGAACAGTGTTCATCAGAATGGAAATTTGCTTCTGAAAATGTACAAGCATTCAAGCAATTGCTTGATGCCACTGTTATTCGCAGTGCTGAGATGTATCCGTCTTTGTCTTCCCATGTTCTTGTGATTTTTGGTATGCTCCACTGTCTAGGCTACTGTGCTGGGGCATCGGAATTTCCTGCACAACTGATAAGATCCATCAAGGCAAGGTTCACCCTTTATGATGAGTACAAGGAAGCATGCCTTGCTATGTCCTGGAACCCACGCTTCAAGTGCACTATTTTTAAAGCCGAAAAGGAAAAATTATTATGACTAAAAGCTCTCGTGCTGCAAGAGCTAGCCTCATGTGATGCTACTGAAGAAATCCAGCCGGAAACGGCAACACAGTCACAAGAGCAAGGCTCAACGCCGTCAACAGATGTTTGGCAAGGATTTCACCATTTCGCCAAAAGTGCAATGGAATGCGAAGTGGTTTCAGCTTCAGAATGGGAAGTTGTAGCGTATGCGGAGGAGGCACTGCTAAAGACAGAGAGAGAGTGATCCGTGTAAGTGGTGGCGAACTGTCGGGTGCTTCAGATATACGAGTCTGACGAAGCTTCGCATAAAATACCTGCCAATACCTGCCACTTCAATCCCAAGTGAAAGAGTTCTTTTTTTGTGTGTGTGTGTGGCTGGAGGTGTAGTTTCCGCTCAAAGAGAGCGCCTCCTACCTGACCATGTGCTACAGTTGCGTTTTGTGTATGAAAACTTGTAATCTTTCCTACAACTAGAATTTTTGTTTTTGCGTTTTTATTCTCGTTAAGGTTACAAGCTGTCACACACAAAAATTAACTGGAGTTCAAAAATAAAAATAAAAAATTCAAAAAGAAAAAAGAAAAACTAACTGCAGTTTCTACATGTGAAAATAGAAATGCTGTGAGTAAATGCACCTGCCTTCCGCTATTTGATATTCGAATCGTATTTAAAAATGTTAATATTCGCACACCCCTAGTAATATTGGAACCATCTCAATGAACTTCACCACCTCACAAAAATATTTCGACAATACTAAAAATAAGAATAAAGGTTTTTACAAAGACTGTTCTAAATGTCACACAGAACGTATTTACGATTCTTGGACCGGTTTGAAATTGTGCTTCTTGCCATGTCCACTCACAGATTAGAATCACCGGACGAGTCATCCTTTTGATTCCTCCGGTACGCCAACCAGTTACGTAAATGTAAAATATATATCAACTTTTTTTTTTTTGCTTTTTGTCGCACCTCCGCATTTACATTATCTGGTTCTGGTTACCATGCAAGTTGAAATGGTAAGGTGTTTTAAGCCGGATTTATGCTTTTTAAAGAGATTGATTAATTATTTAAACGGCTGATAAAAACGCAGACACTAGATAAACTGTCGCACATCGCACTGAGAGGCCTGTTTTATTAGAGAGAACTTGAAGCTGATAGTCCCAACTCAAAATCCAGCAAAGTTTTATATAAAATTTCAAGAAAAAGAGTGCTACTTTCGTTTGTAGAGCTCGATGACAATCATGCTATTATTTGTGGTTCGGAAGGTTTAAGAGATGATACAGTGGAAATATTTTAGCATTTGTACTTCTGATTGTGGCGTTTGAGTAGTCGTAAATAAAACTACTTAGGGGTTGAGGAAGAAATGTTAACGGTTACAAATAATAATATTTCTTTCAAAAGTAATATAATTACTGTGGTGATTATTACCTAATAAGAGCAACCCAATGATTACATATTTACTTTAAAAAGTATCCAATTAGAAGGAATATGATTATTTGTAATTATTCCTTTACAGGCCTTTCCCTATGTTATGAACTCTATCGAAAGCCCTGTGACTAAAAAAATTAATTAGGTATAAATTGAGTGGAAGGTACTTACGTTTTTCCAAATCTGGCTCCAAGTACTAAAGTGTATGTTTTTTCTCCCGCGCCATCAGCACTACCAAAAATTCGAGCGTATTCACATTTTGGATCTCCATATGGTGACGTCACTTCGTGTGTCCTTCTCTTGACCCAGTGTTTTCCAGTGACGTCAAGCATCTATAATATATCAACAACAAACGACACTAAATAACTCAGGTATGTGAGCAAGGGCTCTGAAAGCAAAAACCTTATTACGAAGGCGGTTACTTGCTGCGGAAACGTAACTTATTGAGATCTCAACTATTATTCACATCCCCAGTTACATACAATGTTATTTTAATTACTAAGTATGATTTCAAAAAAAGCAGCAACACAAAATGAGAAATCCCCATGACATGCCTTACGCGAACACCGGCTCGGTGTTCGCGTGAGACACGCTCCGTAAAAAACATTACTTCCAGTCCATTCTGAATTTGCTTCACATTTTATGTTTTAATTTTCTCTATATAAAAAAGTAAAAATAAAGCAGCGCTATAGCTTTGTGACTGCTAGGTAGCAGAATATCTAACATCATCCCCTCACCCACGCTCACAATCTCCATTTAAACGTCGTCAGCAGCTATCTTGCCTATCTACACTATATCTTACCACATCATCATCATATGCGGCGCCGCACACCTTTATCGTATGGGCTACTTGCCTTTCTGCGGCACCACGGCTCTCCTGAGCCAATATAAATATTACTATTACTATTACTAACATTGATCGAGGTTTTTAGGGCACAGTAACATTAATCGGGGTTCAGATCAATCAAAACTTACTTTTGAATCTGAAACAACGAAAATACAAACGCAGTTTAATGCATGCTCCGCTTTGGACATCGTATTAGCTACCGTAATCGCCGCTGGTGATAACTTAAGAAACAGAAATATTCTGATTTAGAAATCAGATTTCAAACAACAGCTACTTATTATTTACGGGACTTTGTTTGTTTTATTAGTCTTCAGGGAATGGCATCGGAGCCTCATAGCTGTTACCCTTTAACATACATGCCCATGCATACTTTTTTTTTTACTTAGGCTTTGAGTAATAATTAATCTAGCGCCACGGGGATCACCGTAGATATATTCTTGCGAAGTAACGACCTACAACTAAAATGCTTCCCTTGCGCTTCTATGCGGAAACAAAACGTCAGGCCACTAAACCTGTGTTCTAAAAAAATGTGTGTGTGATATATCTTGTAGTATTTTAAACATTATCTTTTGGTAAAATTATGAATGTTAAAAACGAAAGCGTCCGATCGAGTAACCGAGCAGTTAGAGCCACCATTTTGAAACAAAGTAACTCCCACCCTCAGTAGGCTATTATCCACATTTCGAACTCCCTTTTCACGCACTTTCATGGTGGTTAATGGCAACGCAACAGCTAAATATACCCGGTAGTAACCTGTAGAGATCTAATAATGAATTAGTGTAACGCTGGTTCCACGTATTCATAACGCCCATGTTCTTTTTTTTCCCCTTTGAACTTTTCTTTGTTACTTTTTTTTTTCAAACTAAAGTTTAACCAAATACGAGTAGACTAGAAAATAAGTACGAGAACTGGTCCTTTAAAACCTATCTAAGGAAGACACTTTCGTTCCTGAATGAACTTTGTTTTTGTAAAATTTTATCACACAGTTAAGCATTAAAACGTAAACTTAGTTCGCTGCGAATGTGCAAAAAATGCGGCAAGAAACCATGTAGGAAAAAACCTCCCTACATGTTTTTCACCATGTAGGCAGGTTTTTACACAATGCGTTCATTAGCGTTAACGAAATAAATATTCTTAAAATTGAGATATCCGCTAGTCTGTACACCATTCTTTGAACTGTAGGATATGTGATGTTTTTCGATTCCACTATGTTATAGACATCGACACATACCATTATTAGCCGCGTTGCGGTGGAAACGGATTTTGGTATATTTTACTATTTAAACAATACAATTCATTTCCACCATCAGGTTACAAATACTGTCAACTCGTCTCTGAGTGTTTTTGTGTCATAACACGTATATCGGGCAATTTTAAATGTCCAAATCTTTAATGCTATTTAGCTCTTTTGTGCGAAGCCGTATTGAGTTTTCAACAGTTGTACGGAACAGCATTGGAGAGACTAACTATTGCATTACTAAGGGAGTTAAAAAAACAATTATATATGTTTCTTCTATAATCGTTACTTGCAATTCAATTCGTTTTATGACTAGAAAGGAATGTGTAAACGGATTAGCTCAAAATCTTTGTATATGGACGGATCGTGTATGGTTTAATGTTTTTGCATACAATTGTTAATGGTGTTGTTGATTGAACAGAGCTACTGAACTGTGTATACCTACGAGTTTAATAAAAACAATGATATGCAAAAAAGTAAGGGCCATGTATTTTTTTTTTAAATTTCCCTGAAAAAAAGTTTGCGCAATAGTTACAATGCTAGGCGAAATTTAGGTGAAGTTAACCACCCGCTCTAGGCGACACACACAGAATGGTGATCTCGCACCATGGAGGTAAGAAGCTTCTGGAGGCGACATCACAACCGCATCGGTTTTTGCGCGGCGAGGAGAGCCGAAGCGAGAGATCCTACCGGTGAACAAGCCCGAGTCGACGTGTTCCGCTGTGATTCTCTCGAGGGGCCATGCCTCAGGCCAGCGAGTATATCGATCGATGGCGGTGAGGCAGTAGCGGTAAGGTCCGGCTAGGGGATACGGGCCTATGATGTCAAGATGGAGGTGTTGAAAATGACACGAGGGCTGAAAAAATACTCCTAGCGGTGAAGTGACGTGCCTGGCGAATTTCGCGCTTTGGCATCGAACGCAGGAGCGTGCACAATTGGCGGCAGTGACGCTGCATGAAGGTATAGACGTAGTGGTAAGCCACAAGGCGTGAAGAAGCGCAGATTCCGGCATGGCTGAGGTGGTGCAGCTGGTAGAAAAGGCTACGGCGATAGTACGGGGGCACATAGTGTGCGGGTTGTCCTGTTGACATGACGCGGTAGATAGTGGTTCTCGACGCAGGAATGGGGAGTTGTTGCAGCTGCAGCGAATACCCGCTCTTAAGGAGCTGCTGTATTTCGGTGTTGGCTGTTTGAGCCTCCGCGAGAACATCAGCTCTTATTGGCGAAAATTTGATGGCCGATACACGGAAAAGCGTGTCGGCGACCATGTTATTTTTCCCGTTGATATGCGGGATGTCGGTGGTAAACTGGGCAATGAACGAAATCTGTTTCTGCTGTACCGGTGAAAGTTTTACACGGCGTTGAGAGAAACCGTAGGTTAAGGGTTTGTGGTTTGTATAAATGGTGCAATACTGCGCCTCGAGGATGCGGTGAAAGTGAACTGCTTTGTTTATGGCGAGAAGGTCTCTGTAGTAAGCTGGCCAGTTCGTCTGGGTGGAGATCGTAGTTGTTTCGGGGGGGCTGGCGGTGGGAGAGGACGTCTTCCGAATGGAGAGTTTCTTTGTGAAAAATGCCAAGGGACGCCAGGTGTTTTCGACGTGTTGCATGAGGAAGGCGCCGATGGCAAAGCTGGGGGTGCCCGGGAGAGCCCCAAGGGAGCGTCTGGTACTTTATCAAAAAGAAGTGTAGCATCGGACAGCGGCAGCTTTGCATTGCTTCAAAGTTTGCGCTGCAGCTGGCGTCCAGGTGACGGGGTGGTTGCCTGGTAGTTTAGCCAAGGCATCATGAAGATGAGCTTGGTAGTCAGCTGTGTGAGACAAGAAACGCCGTAGAAGTTTAGCATGCCGAGCGAACGACGGAGATCTTTAGCGGAGGAGGGTTGAGGATAATTTTGCAGGTCTAAGATGTGGTGAGGCAAGGGTCGAGTTCTCTTCGATGAAATTCGGTGACTGAGCAAGGTGACGAGAGGGGCGCCGAGAGTGCTCTTTTGGATATTAACAAGTACTTTTGGATATTGCTTGCTCTTCAAAAGCCATCAAGTCGTTTGAAGAGTAGGCGAAGGTGCCTAAGGCGGTCTTCGGTATTTCGGGAGAAGATTAACATATCGTCAAGATAGACGAAGCAGAAGTCGAGACCGCGGACGCCTTCGACGATGAAACGTTGAAATATCTGTCCTGCGTTCCTCAAGCCAAAGCTCAAGAAGGGAAACTCTAACAAACCAAAGTGTGTAATGTTCGCAGTTTTAGGGATGTCGTCTGGGTTCGCTGGTATCTGTGTGTAGGCCTTCACAAAATCTAGCACGGAGAAGACATGGCAGCCATGGACGCGTTGGGCGAAATCGCGTATTTAATGGATGGGGTACCTGCCGGGGATAGTGCGAGCGTTGAGGGCGATGTGATCCCCACAGTGTCGCCAGCCTTCGGTATTCTTCGGGACAAAATGAAGCGGCGAGGATCATGGGCTGTCGGATCGGCGGGCAATTCCTTCGTGGAGCATGGCCTCGAACTCTGCTTTGGCGATGCGCATGAGATCAGAAAGCAAGGCGACGGGCGCGGCGGCAAATCGGAGGTCTCGGAGTGGTCCGGATGCAGTTTACAGTGGTTTGTCCCACACACCGTGGCAGCCCGTTGGGACGCGTCAATTTGGGAAATTCGGCGAGTATGGCGTGGTGCGGCGAAAGGTTTTCCACACCGAGTACTTTAATGCTGATCTGGTTGTTGGTCGTGGGCTGGCCTGGCGAAGAAAGTCCCGTTGTCGCGCCATTGAGTTGGTCGTGGCGGCAGTCCGGAAGGAGGTGGTAGTGTCGCAAAAAGTCTGAGCCGATGATTGGCTCGATGACCTCGGTCTGACGAAATTCTGGTGGAGGTCACGGTGTAAGTGGTCTAGTTAGACGTGCAGATGGAGCGAGCCGTAGGTCTTGATGGGGGACCGGTTCGCTGTGCTGAGCTCGAAAGACGTAGGTAGATGGGAACCTTGAAAATGGGCACGTGGATAGCAGGAAATGCCGGAGCCGCAGTCGACAAGGAACCGTTGCCTTGTGATTTGATCGGTGACGAAGATGCGGGACCTTCCGGGTTGGCAGCTTAAAGCCGCGTCCACACGCAGTCGTTGGCGTTTCCCTGATGTCCGGCGGAGCAAAGTGTGTCGGCATTATCAGGCTCTGTCACCGAAGCGTCGATAGTAGTAGCATATCTCAGTGTTACCAGGCGGCTGCGACGAGCCGGTCTTACGGTCACGGGTCTGTGAGC